GAGGGAGAAGTCGAAGGTCTGGCATGGACTGCTTCATGCTCAGCAACTGAATTCCAACCTAATTTTAACGGAAGAACAAATGCAGATATGTGAGGGTGTTCAAAGACCCTTTCCTTCTCACCCAAATCAAACAGAACAAACAGACGTGTTATTCCCACTTTACATTTTGTTGTACATTTTAAAAAATGCATCTAAAAAACTGAAAGAGTTTGATTTTGAAAAGGCCATCCTGATTTCTGCAGCCTCCTGCACACCAAAAACCAGCGAAACCTTATTGTAGCAGGGTGAATTATAGCTCTATGGTTATTAGTAGAGCTGTCAAACTAAACATGTTATTTATTACACTAACAGCAAAAAGTATCTTCTTACTCTTGCCTCAGGATACAAAAGTCTACTTTGCACCAAAAGCTTGTTGCTTCACAGCTAAGCTCCCCCCTTGCTGCTCTGCACACCACAGTCCTTCATGCCAAAGTGTAAATATTATCTTTTGTATCTATCTAGACGGTGAGTTTGGCAACAGTGAAGTTACCTGATCCAGCCCGGTCTGCTTTAACCACACGTGACTGTGGATGTGACTGGCTTTGGAAAGGTGGCGGGCTGAGTTTTTTTTTTTAAATTTCTTTCTATTTATGTTTTTGATAAAGAACCCTTTGTTTAAAAGAGACATCTGCTCTAATCTGCATCCACATACATCTATTAATTTATATCTCCAGGGGGCAGCGGCGAGGAGAGGTGAGGGAAAGTTTAACAGTCAGTGATGTCAGCGCAGGTTGAAACACAAGACAGATCAATAAGATCTGCGCGACTGGAAATGCCATGTCTACCTGTTGAGGTTACATCACAACCTTTTCCACACGATATCTTCTCGATAAAACCTTTTTAGTGGAACTGTTCATAAACAAAAAAAAAGAATGGCTCAGAGCATACCCACACAGAGGCCTCTGTGCCTCACAACCTTTCCTTAAAACACTCAATCCAGTCTATATATAGTTCTTATTGTGCGGGCTCAAATCTCCAGGGTGAAACATTTAATAACACAGCCAAATAAGAACAATCAACAACAGTAGCTTTTAATGAGGTAAAAAGAAAACACAATTAAAAATGCATTATTTATCGTTTAATTACATGTAAGGTCATTAAAATGGGAATGTAATATACATATGGTTGCAACATTAACGAGATCGAAGACAGTAAGTGCAGCAAATGAGCAGTTTAAGTATCATTTTCACCCAAACTGAAAACTCATAATTTAAAAAGTCCCTGGACTAAACAAAAAACAAAAAACAAAACAAAAACAACAACAACAACAAAAAACCCGGTTCCACCCGTTTGTTTAAAATTAAGCTGGAATCTTTCCAAAGTAATATTTTAATGTGTTGGATACCATGCTGGAAAAAGCAAATCCCTTCATCAAGAGTTTTATACTTTTCGATTTTGTTTCATGTTTAAAATCGTGTTTTCTTCTCACCTCCCTTCAACCCAAAACTGGTGACATGCGCCCAAAAACCCTTCAGTTTTTAATACCAATAAACACACATGTGGGAAATCATTGATGAGGAAAGTTAACAAAGGATAATATTTTTTCTAGTACAATTTTGGAAGCAGATGCAAACTCGGTGAACGTTAATTGCATTAAAAAAACGATCTGCGCATATCCGCTCATAACCTAGGCTTCACATTATACGCAAATACACATTTTTTTTTGCTCATTTTCGGAAATGTGTTTGTCAGAGGAAGTATTTTAAGACTTATAGTTCACGCGTCATTTATTTTTTGGTCATTTAAACTTTGCAACTCTGAGAAATAATCCAAGTCTATTAACGCTTTTTTTTTTTTTTTTACTTAGAGACATCTACTGTGACGCAGACATTTGGGTAAATATTGCAGGATTTTTATCATTCATCGGGATTCTTTGGCTTTGCCTTTTGTTTCCAACAATTAGCAAACTATCTACAGCAATGTTTCAAATCTCACACACTGATTGTCGGGAGTGTATCTATTTCTCTATATTCCAAGACGACGGGCTCGGGCTGACTTGAGGGCAGTAATTTGAAAAGTCACCGCAGCATCCCCCGAGGTCTGAGTGACCGCTCTTGGGTAAAAACGTCGCCCCTGGTGTCTTGGAGGTGGCGCACTCCTCTTGACTAAACGTGGCGGCGCACGGTATGTGGTGAGAGTAAAAGTAGCTGGCTTGTCCCGAGATCATGTTAAAAGAGCACGGGTCTGTCAGCGGCAGCGTGCACGCGGGAATGGAGGCGGAGAAGGCGGTGCACGCGGCGCCGATCTGGTGGCGACGGGACTGCGCGCAACTGAGTCCGATGTAAGACATCTCCTGGTGCGTCTGCAAGAACCGGTCAGCGTCCGCAGCGTTTGCGCTCAGTCGGGCCCGCTGTGAGACCACCGACGTGGCGTGGTTGGAGAAGCGAGGGTGCGCGCTCAGATATGTCCCCGCGCCAAGGTGGGTACGCACCGGCGCTTGGAGAGGTAGAAACGGCGGAACCGGCCAGTAAAACGAACTGGCTGCGGCCAGAGTGACGCTGGTTGCAGTGCCCGTGGGCATCACACGACCGCCTCCTCTCTTCAGCCCGAGCTTGGCCCTGGAGCCAGCTGCGGCTCTGCGCCGCAGTTTTCCCGATGTGCCACCTATGAAGACGTCCTCGCTGCAGGGGTCCAGCATCCAGTAGTTGCCTTTGCCGGGATCGTCGTAGTGGCGCGGCACTTTCACGAAACACTTGTTTAGGCTCAGGTTGTGCCTGATTGAATTTTGCCACCCTTGTCTGTTTTGCCGGTAGTACGGAAAGTTTTCCATGATGAACTCATAGATGCCGTTGAGCGTGAGCCGTCTTTCGGGACTTTGGCGGATCGCCATCATGATGAGCGCGTTGTAACTAAAAGGAGGTTTTTCGGGTTTGACGCTTTCTTCTGCTCCACCGGTTTTCCTCGATTCTTCCTTATTTCCTTCTCGTCTCCCAGTTACAGTCCCCGCTTTGGTTTCCACTTTGGCGCATTCTTTTGACTTTTCAAAGTTTTGATCATGGCTGGCTTTTGCAAGCTGGCTAGGGCGCACTTTCTGGGACTGAGAAGGAGACTCCTGGTCACCCATCACTCCTTCTCGTCTCCACAACAGGCTGCTGATGCTGAATGAAGACTTGTGGAATAATCGGCTTGAAGTTTTCACATCCTCAATCTCCATCCCAAAGGTTAAAAAACACTCTCGAAATTCTCAAAGCTGTCCGGAGATCACAGGAGAGCGCACCGCTGAACACACAGAGCAAAGATGCGTCGACTCAAAGTGGTAAAGAGCCAAAGACGCACGGGCCAGACAGCGTGACAACAAATGCGCATGATCACAGCAGCTCAGGACTCGTTACCTCCAAAACGACTCGCGTTGGTGTTTACTTTGTAACTGCGCATAAAAGAGAATCATCCTGGGACGTGTTGTGCGCATGTGTCCGTACTTTGAGTCAAGTGGGTCTATTTTAGTAAAAAGATAATTCATTTATTCCGGTGAAGAGTTAAACGCCTTTTATCCATAAAATCAAAGCAACACACTAAAATATGACTCGTGTGATGTTTTTCCATAAGCACCTATCAACCCCGCCCCCCCCCCAAAGAAAAATCTATAATAATTTGAGAATGAAAGGATGTGCCACGATACCAAACACACTGTGCCAAGGCGGGCTTGAACCCGGGATGACATGGATGTGCTGTCAATCTATGTGACTGATCAGTGAACTCTGGGGTGCAATTATAACACTTCCGTGACTGATGAAATTCAACACTCTCACACGCGCCTCACCCCCTGGGCTGGCCTCATCTTTCTCTCTCGTTTTTCTTCTTCTCTGCTTTCTCTCTTTGCGCACCTTAATCGACATCATAGGAGCCAATTTGGCAAAATGCCGATCAAGAGAATGAAGACGCTGTAGAGACCGAATGATCCTATATATAACGGGCCAAAGACGAGCAGGCTAAAACGCAGAATGAAGGGCAAGATTATTACACGTACAAGTTATTTCGTAATTTAAACCAGCTCTGAGTAGCATGCATTTATGATGCAAACATTTTTATTATTTCTGGGCAAAAATGTGGTAAAATTAAATAAACAGTAGCTAGAGATTCTCTGTAACTGAAAACTGCCTCCTCACTTCAAATTAAACAGTGTATTTGACTTAATCCATGCTTCTCTTAAATCTAATAATTACTCACAGTGAGTTTTCTCTCTGCGTAGGTTACTTGCTACTTAATGCTAACCTTGACTTTTCTTAGTTTGAACAGTTGTCCACTGGTGAAGAAAGCAGATAAATTTGTCGACACGTTAAGGTTTCACTTGAAATGATTATTTTAGTGATAACGCAGTGGTCATTTCAGACATGACGTATCCAGGTTTTGATTTTTCGTGGACATGCTTTGGAGTGTTCATGTCGCTGAGAACAGTGTTAAAGTTCAGCTAGCAACAGGCCACCATGACTGAGACTCCGGTGGCAACGAATGAGTTCCAGCCCCGTTAATGACCTATGCTGTTGTTGAAATAGCACCTAATTAAAGCAGTGTCCTGTAGCAATGAAGCCTGTGGGGTATGGAAATGACGAAACATGTAATGTTAATAGTGTGTACAAGCACTCCTAATGATATAAATTCATTAGGCTGCTCATAAACTCATTTTCAGAGTTCACTTCTTTTTAAGGCACCTACACCATCCTGGTTTAAATGCATTTAAGTTAGAATTAAGCTGAGCCTGCTTACTTTGGCACAATACATCAAGTTCACGTGCCCTACTTGCATGTTACTGCAGTGCCACATGTATGTATTCCTACTTAAGGAGGAATACATCATTTAAAGAAAACCACATCATTATATTTTACATTGTGCTCTCCTCTCAGATTGGTTTTCTTCACTCTAAATATGTGACTGTCAATAAATCCTGCCAATAACTGTTTCTGCTATGATGCCTTTCCATCAGAAAGGAGATGAAATAGATCTGGTGTAAATGAATGTAAGACAGGCATATGAGTTTTTCCTCGAGGTGAACAAAGCTGCTTGTTTTATTGTCTGAAAGGCCTTCACCTCTCCATATCACACCGGTACAAACGATAAGTTCACGTGAGGTTCCTGAGTGATGTGGGCACTCCTTCAACCACAAGAAAGTGAAGCGGGGCCTAAGGGGTGATGAGTTATAGCCTTGTGTTATTTTCTATTCTACAAACAGCAGCAGGAGTGAACAAAAGGTCATCACACACACACACACACACACACACACACACAGATTGCAAATTCATATCAGGCTTTATAATTTAATATCTAATATCTGTTTTTTTACCACTTGGAAGGGGCGACACACGAACTCAATGCCTTTGCGTTACTTTGACTTCGTTTATTAAGTTTATTGCTCAACAAACGTTTAAAAAGATTCATGTATAGCCAGTGCAGTGATATCTAATATCTGTTCTGACAATGACAAGGTAATAAAAATAAAAGAATAATATACATGCTTCTTGGTTGGATTATTGTTTCAAATTCTTCTCACAGAAGAAAGAAATCCATTTAATTTGATGAATCTATTAGAACTTACACAGCACTTCCCTTCCCTGTCTGAACACATTGAACATTCACTGTAGCTGTGCCCTAGCATCTTGTTCAGTTACACTGATCATTGACAACAATAAAGTCTACTATATATTAGTCATGAAGACAAGGATTAGTCATACAGTCTAATACCTTTGCCATTAGCCTGTTTGATAGGGCCCTCCTCCATAATCTGTGTGCTGCACAAGTGAGCACTTGTTGGGAATGTTTCTGGCACTGCAGAAATCATGCACTGTTGTTTCAGCACTTACAATGCCCTTGATTCAATATCTCGTGTTGTTTACAGTGTTTTTTGCAGAGATATTTGAAGGACATTTGCATGAGAAAACAGGACTTGTAAAGATTGTTTGTTGTTCAATAATATACTTAATAATTATTCTGCTGTTTAACAAGTGTTGCTGCGATATGCCAGCATAGCTAACTGTGATAAAAAAAAACCCCTCTGTTATAATTAATAATACACATATTCTATTTTTGTGAGCCCGTGGTCTCGCACACAAACTGTCTTTTTTCTGCCTCTTGCAAGTGATTATTTCACCTGAGTGGCAGATGTTTGGTCTTGTTCACCTTTAGTTTACATTATCTTGAGGTGTAGTTGTTCTTTTTACACAGTTATGGCTACAGACAGTCTCACGGGCTTCTCTCAGGCTTCTGCAACTGTTATTTTAACTTTACTCTGTTTGCCAAAAATGAAACAAAACACTCAATAAACAAACTAAAAGATAGCGTAGACAAGTAGCTTCTTGGAATTTCTTAAAGATATTGTGATAATATCATTATCATTAACTCTTCTAATTACATACTAAAAAAAACCCCCTTAACCCTGTGTGGTGTTTGTGACAGAGAAAAAGAGAAAATTCCTCGCATACGTAAACAAACAAACAAACAAACAAACAAACAATGAATCGAGTAATAAAAAGAAGCACTCTGAGACTGCAAACCTCTGCCAAGACAGCTCAGTTTGTGTTTTTAACTTTTAAAGGAACAATATTGTGTTTTTATTGTATTCTTTTTATTTTCTTTGTTCTTTTTAAACGTCCTTTAAGAAAAAATTAGTGAAGAGAAATTTGACAGATGTTTACTTTGATTATACATTTACATTACATTTTGGAGATAATGAATAATAGGTACTGATTTGTAAATAACGGGACATGAATAACTTATTATATAATAGGATACTACAATATATTTCTAGCTAACTAGGAAGCTCATTGTCTTTGTCTCAATTCAATCGTTAAATATAAAACACATTTTTGAGGTCAGCATAAAAGAAAGGCGGATGTGAAATTTAAAAGCCAAACTATAATGTGATATTTTGAATCCCCATACACCTGAATTATTTCCTGATTGTTGGCAATACAAACAAAGGCAGCAGAATTTTAAGTACAACTTTAAAGATACAAGACATTTTTTATAAAAAATTGACCTTGTAGAAGAGGTCAGAGGTCCACAATAACTTAGAATCCCCATATATTATTCCCTATATGCCTATATGTTGTCAGCACTAAGTTTTAAATAGCTCTATATAGAATTTTCTTTTACTTTGATCTTCAGATTAGTCTGCTGATCTCGAAGATGCAACAAATGTGACACAATGTTTTAAATCTTTACGGCGCTGTCTAAATGTTGACATCACACAGCAATTATAAGAATAATAGTTTTTAAATTATAAGACTTTTTGTCATTTCTTAACCAATTAATCATTGAGGCGACCTTGAAGACTTCGGTGGATGCAATCCAAATTTTAATGCACTATTAACACGACCCTACTGTACACCCATGCAAAGTTTGATGAGAATTCATTCAAAACATTTCGAGCTATCATCACAACGACAGGCTTGATAATGCTACCAAGATCTTAAATATCACTGGTGATATTTTTTTCCACCTCTCTAAAAACCTTAAGCACAACACGGTAACAGTTTGATTCAAGCAAATGTATTTTTTAAAGAAAAAAAAAAAATTATACATTAAATCAGCATATTCAAATAAAAATGTAAACTTTCACACAACATTCAACTGTTTATTCGTGTATCGTGGTTTCCAGTTGCACTTCTAAACAGATAAAGCCTGCGTTATTCCCGTCCCATGCAACGGCTCCCTCTGCTGTAAAAGAAAGCTCTGACAGGCTGTGAAAACAGACTCTTCCTGCTAACAGATAATAAAAAATATAATAATGTGAAAATAATATGCATATAATGTGACGAGGAAAAAAAGAAACCTGAGCATTAGTGTCGGATCTAGAAAGCTTCTTCCTCCTAACACCTTGCTTACTTCACAGAAGCTGGTCATGGGGTCTGTGTGCAATTTCCCCTCAAAACACTGACAAATCGTCTGCGAGGTTCACGACGTGCTCCTCAGTCGTGGCAGTGCGGCGTAAAGCTTTTCTCCTGGACACTCTGTGTTTCCCAGATCTCTGTGTCCATACAGGTCAAACCCAGGCTGTAGAAATCCTGCGGAAACTCCAGACTGCAGCAGCTGTTTCACCGCAACGACTGCTTTTTCACTCGGCGTCTCATCTGCAATGAAAACAAGAAGTAGCTTTATCATTATATGGAGAATAATGTGCAATATCCAATGTGTGTGTGTGCTTGTTGTATTTAAATTACCCTGCTTTTATGATCTTTTCCTATGATACAAGGTGCGGTTACTAAACAAAGATTAATGTTTGTATTGCACACACAGGCCCAGCCTTATCATTTTATGTCTACACCCTGAACAACATGCTCTTGTATATGATGCACACAAAATAAGGAGTGCTTACTGTTGAAATTCCCCATGAAGGCAATTCCCAGTGAGTCACTGTTGTGGTCTTTGGCATGTGCGCCCATCACGCCCCAGCCACGACCCTCGAACACAGTCCCATCTCCAGCAACAAGAAAACTAAACATTGAAGAAGTACAGGTAAGCTTTGATAACAAAACCAAACATTTGCACACAGTTCTTGTGCACTAACAGAGGAACTCACTTGTATCCAATATCATCAAACTTTCTGTCTTTCATGTGGTATCTCTGAATACTGACAAGGCTGGCTTTGCACTCAGCCAGGCCTTTGCAGCTTGGGTAGGCAGTGTGGTGTATAACAACTCTTCGGGCAGGTCCTTTCAGAGCCTTGGTTTGTTTGGCAGCGGCTGCTCCCCACTCTTGCCTTGAAACAATGCTCACTGAAACAGATTGAAATCAACCAAATTGATATTCAGCATTCAAAAAAGAAAATCTAATTAGTAAACCAGAAACAATCCTTAGTGCAAAGCTGTCTGTTTCCATACCTTGTCGGTCCATGGCGTCCCACAAAGCAGACTAACTCGTGGCACGTAATGCAGCTCCTTTATCAAAGAGCCTGTTTCAAGGGGTGTGGTTTTGGGAAGTACACCTATTATGTACTTAATAAGCACGAGTCATTTTCCCACTTGTTTTACCAGCTGAGCAATAATTTACAGTTGCCCAACAAGATGTCTGGAATATACGTGCTTAAAAAAGGAGGAAGTACAACACAGTATTTCCTGAATGTTGCACAGCTAGAGAAAACCTGATTTTTCACACGGATCAGGCATAACTACTAACTTACATTACAAAATCAGTAGCACGGAGGAAAAAAGACAAGCCGTGTCATGATCTTCAAATTTAGGATTAGTCTGAAAACTGAGCAAGTCCATGAAGTGTCACTGGTGCTTTAAGAAATTGACTTGACTCATCAAAAATGACTCACGTTTACTTGTTAATGTAATGTATTAGATGCATATTTCCCAGTTGGACTGAGAGCAGACCTGTAGCTACAGCTCGGGTCTAAAGTTTGTATCCACTCATCAAACTTCAGACTGCAAATTACCCTCTAAATCCAAAACTTGCCATGAATTTCATGGGAATTTTGGGGATTTGAATGACTTCTTTGAACTGTTCTTTTTCCAGGGTGGAATGATTGTACAGCATTTATCTTTAATTACTTTAAAACAACAACAACCTATGATTTCTGTCCACAACAAGACTGTGGACAGAAATCACTACCAAAGATGAACACACTT